TTATGCTAAAATTTTCATGAATTGTTTTTCTTATTAATAATAAGAAACCCACTAAGTTTCATCAAAATCTGCGGGGGTCCATGTTGAAATCCTAAAATTTTGGTCCATTTAGCATGGAATGACCCATATATATATATATATATATATATATATATATATATATATATATATATATATATATATATATATATATATATATATATATATATATATATATATATATATATATATATATATATATATATATATATATATATATATATATATATATATATATATATATGTATATATATATATACACATAAACATATACATATCAAGCCTTCCTAAAATGCGTGTAAATTTTTTTAGACACTGACCACGACGGTCAGTGTTTAAAAAAATTACTTTAAGCGTGTCATAAAGCGTTTCAATAATTCGTGGCAAAAAGCTTAACTTAACTACTGAGAAAAAAAAAACAATCGTAAATAAAGGAAACAAAATTGTAACGAAATATCAAGTTTGAATTTAATAAACTAGAAACTAATTTGCTATGTACGCTGGAGCTATGAAAAAGATTTTTATTTTTTTTCTTAATTTTGTTTGTTTTGCCTTATTATTAAATAACATAATAAAATAAGCCTTTTCGCTTTCAAAAATGTTGTAGGATAATAAGAAAAAAAGATTTTCAATTATTTGTATAATACATTATTTGATTAATAAATTTTGTAATCACAAGATAAAATAAATATAAGTATAATAAGATTTCTTTTATACATGTATTTATCACATTTTATGCATGTCTTAAATTGCTTCTTTCAAATTGCCCAATTTCCATTGTTAATTGGAATTACTAGAGATAATGAACGTAACAATTGTTATCTCTAGTAAACGTAACTCTGTTTGAAAATATGATTTTAAATACCTTAAAAAACGTTTTAAATAGCCTCCTAAAAATCTGGTTAAAAAGTTCAGTTAATTAACAATGGACTAGCCCACAATATTTTAGAGTTAAGTTAACTTGGATAATCGAACAAAAGTGTAATGGGGTAGTCAAAACAACCAAATATTTTATATTTAAATGTAAGTATTAACAACTTTTTACATAAAAAACTTAAAAAAAATTTTTTTTACAAGTAAATAGGCATAAGTTTTCTCGCTTTCCTGTACATTGATAAAAACATTAAAGATTTGTAAAAACATTTGAAAAACAATCTTAAAAATTGTTGATATTTCTAGCGCAAATAATGAGAATAATAAAAATAAAAAAAGCTCCAAAAAAATTGTATATCAAAAAATGTTTTTATTTTCTTTATATTCTTATCTGTTTTTTTACTCGACTTGTATCAAATTATCAAACGCCCTAAAAAATAAGAAAACAGTAAAAAATTTAGGTATATTATTTTCTTCAGCTTATTTTATTTAGATTTTCTATTTTGTTTAGTCTTCATTTTCTTTGTTCGAGTATTACTGTTTTATTCTCTCTAGTTTATTATAGTTTTATTTCACCACAATTTTTTAAAACCCCTACTATATAAAAATGTGGTCAAGTTGTCTAAAAAAGTTGCTTTAGACATGGATGAACAAGTAAAAATAGGTGTGGATGCGCTTCCTGGGAAAGCTTGATATACACGGATATGGAAAAAGGTAAAAGGTATGGATAAAGGTAGAGGCAATCTATTTTTAGATATATTTCTATATTAAACCAACAAAATCTCTGTTATATATATTTTTATAGCTCTCAACAACTGTGTACCATTATCTTTTACTACACTAGGTAGATTTCTCTTTTAGTAGGAAAAACTATAAAATGACTGTGGAAAAAAGATTTTTTTTTTTTTCGTCATTTATTTCCACAATATTTAGTCCATCCTTTATTGTTAGTTAATACTTTATCGATTTTCTTAAGTATCAACTGAAACAGGCTGTTCCACCTAGTTATACAGTGGTGCACCCTCCAGGTTTTTTCTAGTTGTTCTGCTGGCGGCTGAAATTTTTTTTTCTCATTTGAGTTATCCACTATGATAATCAGTATTCCAGTAAAATGGTTTTTATTGGTATTTTTCTCAGGTGAAAATACTGAAGAAAAAAAGTTTAAACACCTGATGACTAAAAAATGTCTAATAAGAAACGGTTTACTTAAAAGTAAGTTAATAAAAAAAAATGAAAAGTTAAAACCTATTGAAATAAATTGTTACTTTAGTTACAAAGAGATATTGGTATATATATATATATATATATATATATATATATATATATATATATATATATATATATATATATATATATATATATATATATATATATATATATATATATATATATATATATATATACTATAAATAAAACTTTTAAAGATCAACATTTTTGTTGTAGTCAATATCTGTTATGTGTCCTTTCTATGTGTCCAACGTGTACCATCTGAACCATTAAGGCATATTTTTGTTTTATTTGACCATAGTACTTTCTTCTAATCATCAGCTATCCAGTTTTGATACTTCTTTACAATGGTAAGCCTCTTAGCAATATGTCATTTGCTAAGTAATGGTTTTTTTACAAGTGTACAAGTGCTCTACCATCTAAATCATACTTATGCAGCCTGTTCTAGGACTTATATTGACTAACTTCTCTAAGTTGTTTTGCAATATCTGTTGCATTTTGCAATATCTGTTCAGAATTTTCATCCAAAGTGAGGATTTTTCTATCAGTCATTGGAATTTTTTTTTTTTTTTTTGTCCAGATATTGGCAAACTTTAAAGTACTCCATGCTTTTTAATTCTCCCCAGAGTATCTTGAAAAGTAAGTTTGGGCATACCAAGCTGTTGTGGTATTTCTTGAACCGTTTTGCCTTCTTTTTAGAGCACTTCAATATTTTTCCTAGCAACTTTTGTCAATTCGTTACTTTTCATCATGGTAACAATTGTCAATGGATACTAAATGTTACAGAAATAGAAATAATGATTTTTATGATTTTTGCTTATATTATCCTAAGCTACAAGGATATTGAAAAGATCTTACATCATGAACTTTATTGACAATCTTGACCAAAAATTAGCAGAAAAATCAAAGTGTGACAGATCAATCACGTTCTTTTAAAAATTAACAAAAATTCACATTGCTGACATGAAACACACCTAAATTCACATTGACCATGATTATAAAGAAATTTTGTTTTCTATTTTGTTCGATAGATGTCAGTATTGTATTGCGAATTAGTAATGATAATATACTCACCTTAAAATTAGCAACAATCTGTATTAAAAGAGAGCGAATAGCTAGTCATTAGAATAGAAAGTCATTTCATTGAAAAGAGGAATGATAAAATGTTAATATTTTTTTATGAGTTGCAATCAAAAACAGTAATTGTTAAAATGTGTGTAAATTGATATTGAAATATTATTTAATTATGAGGGAAACATGTTTAATCAATAAGATATAACTAATATTGCAATTGTACCTTTTTTATACTTTTTCCAAACCCTTAAAGTTAAAAATACACAAAAATTACAGGTGATCATAATATTACAAATAGCCCTCTTAGCTTATAGTTAGAGGTAATATACTGTTATTCAGGGCCCTCTTAGCTTGTGATAAGAGGTAATCCACTGTTATTCAGAGTGGTATTATTAGTATAAAGAATAATAATTTTAATGGCGAAAGAAAAAGAAAAGGAATTTAAACACAATCCAATTAATCCATCACAGTAACAAACAACTACAAGACATGACTGGATTTCTCACGGAGATAATATCAACAATTGAAATAAACAATGCCACTCTTAAATTTGAATTACAACAAATTAAAGTGCATCAACTACTGCTTCACAAACATACACAGTAAATACAACAGCTCAGCCAGAGGTTGTAGCTAAAACCAAATCAACAGCAGCAAAGACTATTGCAAAGGTTGCCGAATAAAATAATAAGATGCAAGCAACTTGAGTGATCATTTATGGTCTTCCTAGCGCAATAAGTTGTAATGATGACAAAACTGTTTTAACAGGTGTTGTTGAGTCCAGTTTATATAGTCCCTAAATTTCCAGCAATTATAAGTTATCCTAAGGGCTTGCTAGCTACTCAAACAATTGTTGTCCAATTGAAGACATAGAAACTAGAAACAGTATTCTAGCTTCCTCAAAAAACCTATTAAAATTGACAATTACAGAAACAAAGTTTTTGTTAGTCTTGATCGAACTTAATCTGAGGTTGATACTTTCAACAAACTAAATAAAAACAGAAAAAAGTAAAAAGGCACCCTATAGACAAATGAAGTACTCAACTACCCTTTCAGTTTGTAATCCAAGGAGGGAGACTCAACACACAAAAAATTTTATATTAAAGGCATCAAACCATTTACCCAAAAAAAGGCAACCCTGGATCACAGACAAGTTATTGAAGATAATTAGGCTGAAAACAGCTGTGGTATAAAAATGAAAACAATGAAAAAGTGGAAGAATGTGCAATCAATGTGCAATCAGTGCAATCAAGGTGTATACAAATGTTAAAAAGGAGATAAAAAATAACAGCAAGCAAACATGCCTATGAGTCAAACCAGCTAACAACAAGCACAATCCAAAAAGACTATTTGCATATATTAATAGTAAGCAGATATTGAGCAATCAAATATTGGCCGAGGGAATAACAAAAGCTTTCTCAATAGCCATTTTCAATCAATTTTTACAAAGAAACCAATGATTCAGCCACTAAAACCTAAAATCTAATTATTATATAATTTGCTTATGTGTGGAAGCGCGAAAAGTCTTGAGTACAAAAGCACTGGCCAAACAGAGAAGACCGCTAGCAGCCACTGTAAAAATGAATTAAATTTTATATATATTCAGGAAAACATGATTTTTTTTTTTAACTTGCATTTTTTGCATGTTTAGTCACACCTTTCTAAAAAATATTACTAATATGAATTGATAATAACTTTGTATTAAAATTTAGTACAATTTCATCCAATAATCCTGGTTTGTATAAGGAAGAAACAAGTATTAAGATATATGTTCATTTTGTTTTTAGAAACCAAAATTAAACTCTAGAAAACGTTTGAGGTTGATTTCAGACTCAGAAGACGACTTAGATAAAGAAAATGTTGAAGATGAAGAAAGTAGGTTTATATTACAGATTTTATTGTTTTTTTTATTTATTTTCACTTTTTATCATTATAAATCTTTTTATATTTGATTTAACATATTAGTGGTTGCAGGAAATGCAGACAATATTTTATCAAATAAAATTTTTAATACTTGAATATAAAAACTTGATGAAACTTTTTGCTTCATTAAATTTTTAGTTAGTTTGTTCTCATTCGGAATTTACTTAACATATTTGGAATCCATTTTGTAAAAGAGATATCAATAAAATAAAACAAATGGGTTGTGTTATGAAAAGCAATTTAAAATATTTGGGTTGACTAGTTAGACAAAAAAAGAGAAAGGGTTGCAATGGAATATTATAAAATAAAAGGCATAAAGTAAAATGGAGAAAACCACCAATAAATAATCGATATCCAAAAATAAAAGGGTTATAATCAAACGCTATATACACAAACAACAAAGTTCTTGATTTTGCTTATGCTCTTTGCAAATTTATTAGATTTAGCAAACAAGATTAACAGATTTGATAACAGTCATCTTTATATGATTAATGTCAATACTCTTAAAAATTAACTCAATGATCATAAGAAAGGTTTTTGAAGCTTAAAACTAAAAAAACTTTACATAAAATTAATATTAGTATTATTATTTTTTTAATTACGATATTATTATTTTTATATGTAGTTTTATGTTGCTGTATGCTTACACATCTACAGTTGCATGATCTACATACCATCATATTACAGTCATCATTATTTTCTTTATTTAAAAAAAAAATTGCATATAGTTTGGTATCAATTACTATAAAACTATATAAAAGGTTAATAATAACATAAAGTATACATCTATGTTATTGAATATAAGTCGAGGTTTTGCAGATAGATACATTTACTGTTGAAAATATGTTCTTTGTTGTCTAATTTTTCAAATAACATATTCTTTTATAATAAATTGTATTTAAAAATTGTTTGTTATTTTCTTGAATAACGTTTTTGTCTGTTTATTGTGGAGATAAATGAGAGCAAATGTGCTGCATTTCCCTTCAAATTGTTCTACATCATGTTCCTGTTACATCTGAATGCATATATATATATATATATATATATATATATATATATATATATATATATATATATATATATATATATATATATATATATATATATATATATATATATATATATATATATGTATATATGTATATATGTATATATATATATATATATATATATATATATATCAGCGTGTAAAATAAGAAATCGAAGGCGAGCGGTCAATTTGACCAGCTAACCCTTGGAATTAAACGGTCAACTGTTTTTTTTTGGACGGTCAACATTTTTATTATTTTCTTTGTTTTTATTTTAATCTTTATAATAGTTCTTCATGACTGAACTTTATAAATACAAAAATAACTTAATATTTGATAATTAACGAATTAGTATTCATTTTTTAAACTTGCAAGTAACTAACATTAAAATTACACGCCAATGTTAATAGTTTAAAATTAGGCGCTCAGATTTTCATTTTATTTCTTAAAGGAAGTTTGATAAACTGATAAACTTTTTCAAAATTTTAATGATTATATGATAATTTAGTACATACTTTTTCCAAATAATAATCTGATTGTTTTTCAAATCATGTTTTTCAAAGCTCTAATTTTTTTTTAACCGGTCAACCATGACCAGCAAAAATTCATTTTGGGATGTCAAAATAGCAATTTTACTCATTTTGGGCGGTCATTGACCGTTGACCGCCCGTTATTTTACACGCTGATATATATATATATATATATATATATATATATATATATATATATATATATATATATATATATATATATATATATATATATATATATATATATATATATATATATATATATATATATATATATATATATATATATATATATATATATATATACATACAGGGGCTATTCTAGGAAACAAATTTAGGCAGCGGTCCCCTCTCTCCTGGAGAAGTTTATTGAAATTATTGCATAATACATGGATGTTTTCGCAAACAAAACAATATTTGCCGGGAAAATGTTAAAAAAGGTCCTCAGCTTTTAATTTTGCGGCACATAAATATAGTCGGCCCTGTCGAAAATGGTCTAAAATATCCCCTAATATATATATGTATATATATATATATATATATATATATATATATATATATATATATATATATATATATATTTATATATATATATATATGTGTGTGTGTGTGTGTGTGTTTGTATTTATAAATTAGTAGAAAATCACTTATGAAACTTTTTTTGTTTAGCACTCATTTCATTAATTTCATTAAGACTTATCAGAAAATTTTCTAATGAGTCAAAAAGTGTTTACCAATAGTGTTTAAGGTTGGCAAATAATCGCCGACCTTGTTACTATGTTTTATGGTAAGACTTTAGTGTTAAA